GCGGCTGAGACTCTTGGCTTCATCTTAGTTGTGTAATTTTGTATTTTTATTTGGAGGCATTTTTCTGTAGTCATTGCCAGACAGGTGCATACAAGTCTCTTTGCTGTGTACACACTTGGAATGAAAGAGGCTGGGTGGGGGATTACCATTCCTCACTGAGGAGGAAAAGGGAAGGCCTTTAACAGTGATCTGCACATCTGCTGAGAATGTGTCATCAGCTTTGTTATTGCCAAACTCACTCCTTTTTAGAAAAGAAAACAGAAGGCCAGAAAGTCATCTGTTCCTTCTTCCATGTAAAACCATGAGAACAAAGCCAGCTCCCTGCCAGTGACAGGGCTTCCTGGAATGTGCCTTAAAACTGAATGTTGATAGTCAAAAACTTTCTAAATTAAAGTCTGCCAGCTCTGGTATGTGTCCATGGTGCTGGTTTGTTTTCTTCTGCTTCAGGATCTTGCCCATGGCTCAGGAATTCTAGCCTTAGATAATACCTGGCGAAAACTCATACGACTTTAAATAGAAACTTATATTCAGGAAACCTTGAGTAAAAGTAATTTGCAGGGACCCCGGATCATAAGGACATGAGAAGGGAGGTGTCTGAAATCCAGGCCCAGGGCCCAGTGCTGAAAAGGTGCAGAGATCTTGATCAGGTGCAGGCAGTAAAGCACACCTAAGGCGAGGAGGGAGAGAGTCGTCCTTCACCTGGGTCCTGAAGATGGAGCACAGGTGAGGGTGTGTGCAGGCTCTTAGGGCAAGCTTTGAGGTGGGGGCTAGAGAGGAGGGTGGAGACGGCCCAGAGAGGCAGCAGACCAGCGCTTTCCCTCGGGACCCTTCAGTTTAAAAGGGTGCTCCTGGGTGTGGTCATGGTGGGCCCTCTGCCCCTTGGGTGGAGGTGTCAGGAGAGGATGAGTCCAAAAAGGGTAGTTTCAAAAAATCACCGTGTCCTATCCAGAAGCTCGGAGCTTGCCTTCCTGGTCAGGGGTCTCCACTCATTCCCTTTCTGACCTCCTCTGTTGGAACTAGAGCATCCAGACACCTGGGGGGGAGGTTGAGCCAGCTGGGCCTTGGCAGGGGCCCCAGGCTTATTCACAGAGTAGACATCTGCCTGGCGCTTCCTCCTGAATCACATCGCTAGGAGGCAGGAAAAGACCCAGTGTAGTTTTCCCCAAGAAAGATGGCCTGTAGGGCAGAATGTCTCCCCATCTTTCTTATTCTGAGCATAACGGACAGGGTTAACAACAGGCACAGAGCGGCTGTGAGCTGGACATAAGCTTGGTCTACCTACGCCTGCCTTCCCCAGCCAGAGGAGGCTGATGTGGCACTGGAGCCAGTGCAGGCCCCACTCATAACTTCAACTCTGCCTCAGTTTCCACTCCTGGAGCTTCTTGACCAAGACCTAGCATGCTTGCCCCCCTGGGGCAGCCTCCATCCCCCTAGTAGCCAGCAGGGACCTTCCTGGTGGGATGGGCTGCTTGGCATTACACCATGTGCCATGAACTCAGGCTGACCCCAGTGGCCTCCTGAGCTGTGTCAGGGCCTAGATTCAACCCGCTCAAATTTCCATGACATTACTTTGCCTTGTCTACCCCAGGGGTTTTAACCTGGTGTCCAGCAGGGAGTATCTAACATATACCTGCATTTACTTTGGTCCCCAGAGTCTTTAGGCATTGGAATTTGTTGCCAATATTTAAGCATTGAAAAGCTTCATATTCTAAAAAATCCAGAATTCTGGTTTCTCTTGGAAAACCAGAAATTCTGGCAATACTGGCCCAGCATTTCTGCATAGCAGGAGCTTCTGCAGCCAAGTTTTAGCAGCCCCATTTTAAGCACATGCTATTTTGCCATAGGCTCCACCACTCCCTATTGTTTATACCTTGTATATGTTAGCTGGTTGGCCCTGTAGGCCTTTGAGTTTTTGAGACCCCTGGTCTACACACTTGAGGAGGACCCCTGTGTTCATCCTGCTCCTGGTTCTCCTGCCTTCCTGTCCCTCTGGCTGCTGTCTTGGTCATGCCCAAGGGACCTGGCCCATGGTACATGTGGACCAGGGGACTGTGTGAATTGTCACTGAGCTCTCTCTGGGCAAGGCACCTGCTGCCTCCCAGGGGCTATGGGAGGTTGTTAACCCTGTCCATCATGCTCAGGATAAGAAAGATGGGAAGGGAGACATCCTGCCCTACAGGCCGTCTTTCTTGGGGAAAACTCTACTGGGTCTTTTCCTGCCTCCTAGAGATGTGAGTCAGGGCCAGTCCACCCACACACCTAATGTCACTCCTGGGATAGCAAGGCAAGGATGAGGCACCAGACGAATTTGTTCCTGAGAAAATTTTTAGCAGCCTCGGGGCAACAGAAGGAATATTGTATGAGGGGCAGGGCTGGATCTAGTGTGAGGTGAATGAGTCACAGGCACAGGGTTTAGGGGTGGAACCTGGAGTGCTCGCTCTGTGGGTGGGGAAGTGATCGTGAAGTGGTTCTTGAGCCCTGGCGTGTGTCAGGCCACCTGCAGACTTTGTAAAATGCAGGTCCTTGGGACCCCTGTCACGTGCCAAGCAGGCATAGGGGCTGGGAAATGGCATCTGTGTCCCGCTGGCCTCGTGCTGCTGATGCTGGTGTCTAAATGCTCCTGTGCCGAGACGGGACTTCTGAAACTGTTCCCACAGAGGGCAGGTGAGGAGGTGGAAGGGTGGACTTCTGTCAGGTGATGGGAGGTGGGATGAGTCCACCCCCAGCCTCTGGCAAGAGGGTTCTGAAGGATGAACCTGGGCAGGCCCATGGTCAGAGCGGCAGCCGGGTGGCCGGGCCGTGTCCATCCTCTTGCTTTGATAGGGAGTGATAGTTTTCACTTAGGACTTGGCCCCTTATTTCTGCATCAGCTCCTTTCTGTCCTGGCTGATAGGGAGTCAGACCTGGAAACAGAAATCAAGCTAAATCATTTCCCTAGGCAGGTAGATGCTTACATTTTCACCCCATCACACCTGAAAGCTTGTCTCTGTGTTCCTCAGAGCCGGGGTCAGCATCACTCAGTCCTCCATCTGGCCCCATGCAGGGTACACGATTCAGTCAGTCAAGCCCCCAACTCTGTAAGGCCTCTTACCCTCAGCCCCTGCTCCTTGGAAAGCTCTCCTTGGCCTAATACTGGTGTCTACTCTGAACCTGGTTCCTGCTCAGCGGGAGGACCAGATGTAGTCCTGAAATAGAAAGAGCACTGGTCTGGGAGTCAAGTGTCCCTTTTCTCAGCTCAGCTCAGCTGCTGATTTGCTGTGTTACCCTGGTTAAGTCACTTGCCCTCTAGGCCTCTGTTGCCATTGTAAAATGAAGAGTAGACTATATGAGAGTTTATTAAATTTCAATGTAGTCAGCAAAAGTGGTGGATGGAGTAGGGAACTCTGAAAGTCTGTCCCTCCACAAAAGCAACAAATCAAACAGCAACAGTTGTCAGAGCCAACTTTATCAGAACTCTGGAAACTGACAGCCTGCAGCAACCAGATAAATAAAGCACAACAAAGGAAAGAAAAAAAAAGCGGAATGTCAGTGAGACGGTTTCGCCACATTTTCACTTTTCCAGCACTGTCCCTCATACCCCAGCTTGGCAGCAGCCTTGAAAACAGAATACCACAGCCCCTGTATGAGTTCTAGCACCCAAGGGAGCAGAAGGGATCTTGTTCTCAAGAATAATGGTCGTTGATTTTGATCTGTCTGGTTGCTTCCTGAAATACTGGCTCAGATGACTTGCTTTTGTTCCACCTTATTTGGAAATCTCCCAAGGAAGAGTTAGCAACCCTGGGAACATTTGAAGGCAAATTTATTAGCCACTGACCTAGAGAAAGGGGTACCACTCGGGGCAAACAGGAGACAAATTGGAAAGTGGGAAGGAAAAGCTGAGATGCTCTGGGGAATCATTGTTTTGAAGAGATCCCACAAACTCCTGGAAGTCTAGAAGGCCAAGCACATGCCCAGGGCTGAGCACATGCTTTAAAAAGTCTTGAGAAGGCCCTAAACTCTCACATCTGGCTGACCTTAAGGCTCTATGACAAACAGGAAGTGAAAGCTAAGGCAGAGTCATAGACTGCTGGGCTGGGTGTCTGACCATGTGCCCCAACACACACACACCACTTCCACAAAGACTGGGAGATTTTGTTTTGGTGGGTGGAATGAGGGATTGGTTTCACGAGTTTAATGAAATTTGTTGAATCACTAATGACCAATAAGCTAACTGAACAGACTTCATTGACCACACCTGACCAAGAATACAAACTTCAAAAAGCTAGTTCAGAGAAGTCGCTAGACAAACTACAACAAACAGAAAAAAACAGCAACAGCAAGCTCTGGGGAGGGGAAAGATTCTGATATCCAGAGTTCTATTAAAATGCTCAAAATGCCCAGTTTCCAACAAAAATCATGAGGCATGCAAAGAAACAATTCATAGATTCATAGATATATAATTCATAGATAGGAAAATAAGAAGTATGTTAATAAAAGCAAAGCCCAGATACTGGACTCAAACATAGGCTTTAAACCAACTTCAAAGAGCTGTAACAAACCATGAATAAAGCTAGAGGAAAACAGGAGAATGATACCTCATCAAATAGAGAATATTATTAGAGAGAAATTATGAAAAGCAATCAAATAGAAATTCCAGAGTTGAAAAGCACAATAGCCAATTAAAATATCCATGGAAGGGTTCAAGAGGAGATTTGAGAAGAAAGAATCTGCAAACTTTAAGAGAGATCAATTGAGAACTCCCTATCTGAGAAGAAAGAAAAAAAGAATGAAGGAAAATTAACAGTGCCTAAGAGACCTATGGGATTAAACAGGTGCATCCATACAATGGACTGTTATTCAGCCATAGAAGGGAATGAAGTACTGATAGGTGTTACAACATGGATGAACCTTGGAAATATGCTCAGTGAACAAAAGGGAGACACAAAGGCCACCTGTTACATGATTCCATTTATATTAAGTATCCAGAATAGACAAGTCCAGAGAGACAGAAATATTAGTGGTTTCCAAGGGATGGAGGGTTGCAGGGTGGGGGGCGGGGATGGGAAGTAACTGCTTCGTAGGTATGGGTTTCTTTTTGGGGTGATGACAATGTTCTGGAATTAGTGGGGATGATTGCACAACGCTGAAGCCACTGAATTTGTACGGTTTAATGCTTACAATTTGGGGTTTTTGTGAATTTTGCTTTAGTAGAAAAATTTAAAACAATGTGCACACAAAACCCCTGAGGATCTAATTAAAATGTAGTAGGTCTGGGTGGGGCCCAAAATTACACATTTCTGACAAGCTCCTAGGAGATGCCCACTGCTGTTCATTTATGGCCACATTTTTAGTAGAAAGGCTGCTCCCAGGGCGCTTCTGCAGTGTCACCTTACAATCCAGGACCCAAGGTGCCTTCCCTCTGTGAACCAACCCCCTTTCTGGCCGCCCCATAAAAAAGGAGGGCAGAAGCACACACCATCTGGGGGCTCCCAGGTCTGAGCCTGCGGGGGTCGGAGGGCTGGGGGCATGGCGGCATGGGAGTAGACAGAGAAGGGGCTGTGGCTATAGGTCACGCTCAGACACGGCGGGGGTCGAAGGAGTAGCTTTGGTTTTGCACAAGCTGAAGAGGGAATGTCAGAACGCGCGGCCCTGTTCTCAAAGGAGAGCTGCTGACAGGTGAGTAACTTCCAGCTGCTGGGCAACCCCAGCTCCCGTGCTCAAATGCGATCTGGAAGAAAGGGGGCGGCCTCAGAGTGAGCAAGCAGGGGGCGCGGAAGGGTGCCTGCCCTCCCTCCCAGCCCCGGGGAACGCTGGGCTCAGGGGAGGAGCAGGGTGGCAACCCCTCCGCTGCCCCCGCAGGGACACGTCCCCCTAGATGGCTTTGTGGTGGCACAGGCGTGGCTCCTTGGGAGGGAGATGACGGAGCCGAGGAGCTTTGAGATGTGGAAATGGCCAGTGGGGAAAGCTGCCCTCTGCCAGGGTGGTGCTGCCAGGGACTCGGGCCAGCGCTTCCGGAGGCTGGGGATGGGAAGCAGGGAACCCTTGGTGGGGGCTGGCTGGGCCGATGCCTCCCCCTTCCGTCCTGGGGAGGAGCGGCTGTCTGCAGCTCGTCCCGGCCACCGCGGTGTGGCGGAGCAGCCCCCCAACCTTCCTCCCCCCCTGCGCCGCCGGCTCACCGTCTCCGAGCAGGTCCGCGGCCGGGCTGAGGGGCCCCGGGGGCAGGTTCCGGGCCAGCTCCTCCAGCTGACCCAGCAGACCTTTCACTTCAACCTCCAGGTGCTCCACCGTCTTCTCCACCGTCTGGGACAAAGAGAGATGGGGGCGGGGGCGGTGGGGGCGCGGGCCGACCTCATCCCAAGGAGCAGCTGGCCGCCCGCGGCGGGACCGTGGTGCGAGGACGGGGCGCCCTGTTCAGGCCCCGCCCCGCCTGCCTCCCAGTTCCCGGATGACAGAATCCCAGGAGTCCGCTCCCCACGGCCGCCCCGGCTCGGCACTCGGCGGTTGCCCTCAGTCACGGTTTGGGGGCTTGGGGCAGCTCCGCGATCCCCTTTTTCCTTTCAGGACTTCGCTACTTCACACTCCTTTTGTGGCCCCGCCCCCTGGTGGCAACACTGCCAAATGACAGGTTTGAGATAGAAATTTTCTTCAGTGTTCTTTTTTCATGAATGAACCCCATTAGCAAGCAGTCAAGTGAAGCCTACAGGCCCCTTCTCAGAAAAATGTTTCAATTGAAAAAATAAAACATACAGGATGTCCAAGGATACCAACTGCCTTAAGATGTTATTCAAGAATCAAAAATGCTTGATGTAAAAACGTCTATACTTTTTAACTGAGTAACATGGTCTAACATCAGGTCTAACAACTAACGCAATTTTGACACACTGATTAGAATAAATGATATGTTGAGAGTCTCAATTATGAGATGAAATTATCTGATGTCTATTGATAACAGTCACGGTACTGTGAACACGGTTTGATGTCTGTGTTCACAGTCAATGGGAACATTAAATTTCAATTAAAGGTTTGTGAAAATAAAGTGTCATTTTTTCCCTACATACGCTTACAGATCCCAGGTGACAACCAAGAGCTGTATAACAAAACACAGTGACTGAGTTTCTGCCTTCCCCTCTGGTAATTACATGCAGCTCTCCTCCCGCTGGGTGCAAGGAGGCCCCAGGGGAGGCAGGGTGTGTTGGGGGCTGGTCAGCCTGAAGCCCAGGCAGGGCAGGGAGATATTTAACACTGTGGCCAGGCTGCAGGATTAGCCTAGATTTCCCCAATATTTCAAAGCAAGATTGGCCTGAGTCCCATAAACCCACCAGCAGATGGTCCTGAAGCTGCACGTCCACCCAGGTCACCCGTATTACCTCCTCTATGATGTCTAAACGACTGTGGACAGTCATGTGTCTGTCACACCCTGTGCTCCAAGCTGGATCTTCTCGGGACGGGATGAAGGGCTCAGCAGCTGTGGGAAAACAAGTCTTGTCACTGTGGGGCCCTCGATTCTCCCATGATACTAAGACTCATGGAAAGCCCTGAACCTGGGTGAGGTAGGTCCAGAAAATAGTCACAAAGAGCAGCAAAGAAAGGTTCACTGTGGTCAGTGTGTGGGTGAGGGGCTGCCCCTGGCTCTCACTTCTCTTGATGGCCGTGGTCATCTACAGACCCAGGTGGGCTTCCTCAAGGAGGTCCTGCCTGAACGGGTAAGGTGAGGAAGGAAAGGTTTAGCCAGGGAGAATGGCAAGTGCAAAGATAGATGAGAAATTGCACAACTTGGTGCACAAACACTCAGGGAGTTTGCAGAGGCTGGAAAGAACAAGGTGGGTTGGAGATGAGATTACAGAGGGCCTATCAACCAAGCACGATGCCTGTTTGGGGGCTTATTTTAACAGAAGAGTCACATTGTCATATATGAATTTTTTAAATCCAGAGAACATACTGGAGAGATTCATCTTTGAAGGCAGGAGAGTGCTGTGGTCCTCAGGGAGGGAGAACACGGACAGACATCCTTCAGTAGGAGCAGTGACACTGGTGACCAGGCACAGCATCTGGCATTTGATGGGTGTTTACTGTGTACCACACAGTGTGGTAAACACATATGTTAAAACTCAGTCTCTACAACAAGCTATCATCCCCAATTCACACGTAAAGAAACTGAGGCAGAGAGGTGAATCAGCATGTCCCCCGTACACAGCTGGTAAGCGGAAGATCTCAACTCTTGACTCACCGTTTTTCCCTCCCTGGTTCTTCCTGGCATAACCAACCTTCACATCAGAAGTCTTAGAGCCCTGGTTCTGAGCTCAGGTTTCTGTGTGGGTGGCTCTAAGATGCCTGCAGGGTATCAGATTTGGCGAACCTCACAGAACACTGACCCTCAGGAGGGAGGATACCTTCCTCGAAACAGAGAAGCAAAAAAGTTTACAGAGGATGAGGCAGCCAGCGTGGCCTAATGCAGACCTAGTAAGGGAGGTCTAGCAAGACAAGGACCAAAAACCAGAGCAACAGGAAAATCGCTGCTACCTTCCACCCCAGCGCTTCGGGCGGAGGGGTGGAGGCAAAGCAAAGTCTCGGTTAGTGGGATGAGAAGGGAAGGAGAGTCAGGAGGTGGAAACTTGGATCCTGGAAAACGTCTTCATGAAATCTGGCTGTGAGGCCAGGGGGGTCAGATCACATGGTGTTGAGTATATTTATTGTCCTTGCTTCTGTTTTTCTAAGTGTTGTGGAAACACGACCCTGTGTATAGCCTAGGAGACAGGAGGGAGACAGGAGAACTGAAGGAATGCTTTTCCTGAAAAGATGAGAGGCTGTGGAATCCAGAAATGGTGGTGGGGGTACGGGCAACACCTGCAGGGAAGGGAGGGATAAATGGGCAAAGGTGAACTTGCCCTTAGAGGGCCAAAAAATTGTGTAAGCGCCCACCTGATGGCCTCTATTCCCTCTGTAAAGTAAAGGGGAGTCATCTGCTGGAAAGTCATGTAGGGTGAGGAAGTGAAAGCTAGCTGTGAAGTTTTCAGGAGTTCTGTGAGTCCTTATTAAACATAGCCATAAAATGGGAGCCATGGTGAGAGATTTACACCCTGGAAATCGAAAGGTTTCTCTTTTTTTGAAAACCAGTTTGTCACACCACTGGGTAGGGGTCTTGAATAAAGAGAGGGCTTCAAAAGGGAATGAGGAGGCTGACGAGGCAGTGTCGGGACCATCGTGCAGATCACCCAACATCAATGAGGACCTTTGGGAGCACCAGTACCACCCCCCACCCCCCACCCCCCAGTGGCTCAGCAGGCTGGGTAAAGAGCAGCAAAGTCAACTGGCAGGATGGAGCTGAAACCTGGGAGTCTGCAGGATGAGGATGGGGCAGGGCAAGAGAGCAAAGACTGAGGATTTGACTAGCAAATTGACTCTAGCTTGGAATAGAAGGAGAGGTGGCTGGGGAGAGGGCCAGTGAATTGGGAGACATGGATGGGCTGCAGAGCCTGGAGGGCTTGGAAGGAGGGGAGTAACAGAAGGAACCAGGGGGAACAGACTTTGCAATGTTAGCTTTTAGAGGGAGAGAAACTTCATAGTGATAATATCAAGGCTGTTGCCACAGAGTTGGGCATCTGAAGCAGAGAGGGGGTAAGAGTTATTGGACTTGATCTCTCTAGGTGCAAAACCCTTGTAACTGTGAGACCTTGAGGTTGGCTCAGTTGCCCAAAGGGATATATGAAGTTTGCCAGAAGGTTGGAGGATAAAGGGTGGTGATGGTGAGCTGTTTCACTGGTGATGAATGTGTTAACTCTTAGAGGTTCACACAGTCAGCAAATGACTGACCCTAAGCACCCTGGCCTTCCCCTGACCTCACCTCAGCAAGCTGGCCTTCTGGAGCTCTGCCTGAGGCCCCCTACCCTGAGATGCCCTGGTTCCAGCTCTATCTGGATCCCAGCTCTCCCTCTCAGGGGAGAGAATGAAGAGCAGGGACAGACTTCCTTCTACTTTGAGCATCTTTATGGAGAACAATTTGTGTTTGTGTTTTTACATTTTCCTTTTCATTAATTCCCTCTACTGAACTCAGAAAAGCCTCTTCAAAAGAAAATGGTCTTCCCACCATCAGTAGAACAAAAAGACATCCTACATAAATGACATATCCAATAAGGGGTTGACATCCAAAATATATAAAGAGCTCATGCATCTCAACAAACAAAAAGCAAATAATCTAATTTAAAAATGGGCAGAGGATCTGAACAGACACTTCTCCAAAGAAGAAATTCAGATGACCAACAGGCACATGAAAAGATTCTTCACATCGCTAATCATCAGAGAAATGCAAATTAAAACCACAATGAGATACCACCTCAGACCAGTAAGGATTGCCACCATTCAGATGTGGTACATATACACAATGGAATATTATTCAGTCATAAGAAGAGAACAAATCCTACCATTTGCAACAACATGTATGGAGCTAGAGGGTATTATGCTCAGTGAAATAAGGCAGGTGGAGAAAGACAAGTACCAAGTGATTTCACTCATCTGTGGAGTATAAGAACAAAGCAAAAACTGAAGGAACAAAACAGCAGCAGACTCACAGAATGGTCTAACAGTTACCAAAGGGAAAGGGACTAGGGAGAATGGGTGGGAAGGGAGGGATAAGGGGAATAAGAGGCTTTACAATTAACATACATAATGTGGGGGGTGGCACAAGGAAGGCAGTAAGGCACAGAGAAGACAAGTAGTGACTCTATAGCATCTTACTGTACTGATGGACAGTGACTGTAATGGGGTATGTGGTAGAGACTTGATAATGGGGGGAATCTAGTAACCACAATGTTGCTCATGTAATTGTATATTAATGATACCAAAATTTTTAAAAATTAAAAAAAAAAGACAATGGTCTTCCAAGTAATGATTCTATAACTTCTTAGTACGCTAATGGACAATGACTGCAATGGGTTTGGGTGGGGGGCACTTGATAATGTGGGAGAATGTAGTAACCACAATGTGCTCATGTGAAACCTTCATATGATTGTATATCAATGGTACCTTAATAAAAAAAAGACAATGGTCTTGTAGATTTTGGGGAGGGAGGGAGACATTATAATGCTTTTTTCTGGTATATGTGCTGCCAAAGCACTGGTTATTTTTTAAAAGGGAGTCATTTAGAGCTCCATACTGAAAAATATTTACAGACGAAATGCTATGAATTCTTGGATTTACTTCAAAATAATCCAGGACTGGGAGTGGGGAGGGACATGAGTGGGAATATAGAGCAAACAAGATTGGCCAAGATTAATAATTGTTGAAATTGGGTGATAGGGACATAGGAGTTAATCCCACTCTTCACTTTTGTGTATGTAGTTTGAAATTTTTCCATAATAAAAGTCAGTTGTCTGATGGGCCTTTAGCAAAAAGCAGACAGCATCATGGGCTGCATGCGTGGATGCAAAATGTGGGTCTGAGAGACCCCACCTGCACTCCATTCTGGGCTTGAGAAGGCCCTTGATAGGCAGACACAGGTCTAGAGGCGGTCATGGTGAAGAGACTCCAAATTTTGACCCATTTGTCTCAGCTAAAAGAACAGGGGTGCTCAACTTGACAGGTATAGACTTCAAGGGACAGGAAGAGCTGCCTGCACACAAAGGGAGGGCTGTCTGGGAAGAGGGGGTTTGTCCCAGTGTGATCTGAGTCCGTACACATCCTCTGTAGGCTCTGCCCAGGGGAACTTTGGCCAAGTCTTTCCCCTGAGCCCCCCTTGCCCTCCCCCAGGATCCCCTTAGGCAAAGAGGAAGCAATGCGACTCTGCCAGCCAAGTAGGGCTCTGCCAGCTCTGTGAGTCACGAACATGAAGCTGCTCCCCGCCATTGGCTGAAAACATCCTGTTCTCTGCGTGTCTGCGATGAGGTCTAACTTGGCTCCCAAAACCCTCCAGGGAAAAAGCTGGGCTGCGGTTCCTCTGCACATCACACAGCGTTAACCCCTCACATCTGGATGGAACCTCGCCTGGGCCCCACTGCACAACTGTCCATGAGCTCATCCAGGCCTCTCAACAAGGTCGTGGACAGAGAAAACTGGGGTAGGGCCCTCACAGCTCCTCTGCACCACCGTGACACTGACCTCAATGAACATCGGCAGGAAACACACTGGAGACCCCTGTTCTCAGCCTGGCCAGGCCACGAGTTGGTGTGGGCCTGTAGCAAACTCTCCTCCCCGAGCCTCTGCTGCCTTCTTTGTAACACAGATGAGGCTGGCTTGGGGCACTGCCACCCACATGCAGCCATCCACACTGCGTCTTTCAGAGCCTGCTGAGTGGCCTCAAACATTAGCTGCAAGGACAGAACTGGGGTGAATCAATCACAAGGTGCTTAGTGGACCAGAAGCCCCAGCAAGGCAAGACCTGGGTGCCTTCCATTTCTCCGAGCTTCGTTATCAGTGGAAAGGGGTCACAATAATGCCTGTCTCCCTGGGCTTTCAGACACCCTAGTGAGAGGAGTGAGGAGGGCTGGGGGTTTACCATGATGGACCTCGAGCAGTCTCAGTTGTGGCCCCAGGCTTCTCTCCTGCACCCCCACCCTCCCTGCCCAGCCAGTTGGGAAATGGACCTTCTTGGATGCTGGGTTGTTTTCCCTGGCCCAGCTCCCACTCAGGGCCTATTTGCACCCTGGACAGCAGCCATGGGTGGAACACAGTGCACTGTGAGAACAGGCAGCTGGTAGAGGCCAGAGGCCCAGGCAGAGATCCTGGGCTAATTCCTCCAGTTGGAGACATGGCCACTGGGACCCTATCCACTGAGGCAGGAAGTACGGTCTCCTCCCATTTTCAGGCATAGGAGACCCTTTGTATGTGGGATTCAGACACTAAGGAAGCACCCACAACTCAACGGGTCTCTGCCATGCTAGGTGGTGGCAAAGATTTTCTCAGTAGTGACCTTGATGGTGTGGGGTGTACCTTCCAAATCACCAAAGACATACTGTCTGCTTTGACTAGCTATGTTTATCTTTTGGGGGTTAATGATATTTCATATTTTATCATATTCAGTATTTGTATTAAAATTTGTGATTCAATTCAAAACCATCAGTGGATTTTTCTTTTAAACAAAAGAATATTATTTTCAAACAGCTGTATGAAAAACTCCAATATGTGCAATTGTTCTGGCTGAAACTCTGGGAGAGACCTCCCAGCCACCTAAGAGTGACTCGGACTCTGAGGCACGGGTTTGTGTTGTGAGGGGCATTTCCTCCTATCTGCCATGGTCTCTGGTCATTTTCCAAATGTGTACTCGAGCCTTGCCCATCACTCTGACAGCTTTCCAATGTCATTCTAATACATTCAGTACTGTTAAGATTCAAGCTAGGCTACTCTTAACAAAGAGCCTCCCTCAATTACACGTTTCTTTCTTTCTCATGTATCATCAGTTCAGGGGCAGCCTAGCTAGTGGTCAGGGCTGGCAGGGAGCTCTACTCCCTGATGTCAGACAGGAGCCCAGATTCCTTCTATCTTGGAATATTGTGTTTTTCAATCCATGGGGTTATAACATACCAGAACACTCCAAAACCTCCGTAAGGCTGAGAAGGTCTCAGAAGCCATCCGGGATAAATCTCTCCCCACATACTGTGGAAAGCACACAAGGCTGGAGTTGGAGATGCAGCACAAGAACACGGACCCCACTGCTCTCTGCCTCCCGCTCGGCTCACTGACGGTGCTCTCTGCCTCCCACTCAGCTTCCTTGTTTGTAGGGGATCTGCCCACCCTGTACACTCTGCAGTATTCTGGCACTGATCAAAGGGGATCCTGCAATATGAAGAACACTTGGAACTGTCACACTGTGTGCAAATGCCATGTAGGGGCACTTACCAGGTGAGCTGAAGACTGAGCCAGGCAGGGAAAGCTCCCCACGGCTCCACCTCTCCATATGGAACCAATGCTCTTTGCCACATCACCTTGCCCAGTTCTCATGCATCTGCTCTAGAATTAAGCCTGGAGAGGAATCCAGGGATGCTTGGGAGGGGCTTCTTCAACAAGGACAGAAAAAGCTCAGGGCTGACACAGCTCTCTGGGCTCTGCTGCCAGCCAACCCCAACTTGCTGGACCCTTGATTTCTTCACCTTTGGAGTGGGCATAACATTACTCTATATTCACAGCTACTATCAATTTATGATCACTTATTATGTGCCAAGCTCTTGTTGAGTGCTTACACACATTTTCTCATTTAATTCTCTCTGGGAGCTCAGTACTCTTGCATCTCCTTTCTACAGATTAGACACCCAAAGATAAAAAAGACATGCCCAAGATTAAACAGCCAGTAGGTGGTGGGGCCAGGATTTGAGTCCTACCTGCCTGATACTGTCCATGCAGTCCCCTGGCAGTTGAGGGCCAGCTGCCTCCTCTGTAAAATAAGGGGCTGGACAGGTATGGGACAAAGGGGACCTGCACACATGGCACCTTTGCAGCTGTCTTGAGGCACCACAAAAGCCCAAGCATGTGTCTTGGATCAAACTGTCTTTAAGTGGTTCACTCCCACAATATCCATTTTTATAAGAAGAAAGGCTATGATCCTCACCACAGCCCTTCAGCATCTTCCTCTTTCATCCAAAGCAAAAAGCAGAATCACAGTGGAAGACAGATGTCCACCAGGACTTGGGGTGCTGGCAGTGGGAGCTTCCCCAGTGGCCCCTGAGGCATGGTTGAGGATGGTTAAAAGGACTAGGCTATAGGACTTTGGTCCCTCCCCTGATAGTAAAATAGGAAAGGAACTCAGCTGGAGTCTTAACTTCAAAAAACATCCCTACAAATTACATGAAACAGTTTGCTTCATTCAATAATACATCAAGAGCTTTTACAGATCAATATGAAAAATCCCAATGCCACAATTGAAAAGTCAAAGTAATTCACAAGAAATGGCAGAAATGACCATGTGCAGTTCTAAAAAGTCCAACCTCAGAAGTAATCAAAGAAATGCAAATTAAAGCAATAAGCCATCTTAAAGTATTCGTGCAGAACCCAAAAGTCTAACTGGAATTAGATCAAGCTTCTAGATCTAACTACCAGTTTACAGACAACAGAGGAAGAGAAGAACATTTAAATGACACCTTGGGGATGCAATCAGCTAAAATCTAAATGTGGAAAATTTTATAGGACAAAAGACCCAGTTTCTTCAACAAATAAATTTTAAGGAAAAAAGGGGGGAAGGGAACTTGCCTACTAAAAGAAACTTAACAGACATATTAGCCCAGAGCAATGAATGCACATTATTTGGATCAAATAAACCAAAGCACAACACAATCAAGGACATTTGAACACTGATTAGATATGGTGAATTGAAGGAATTGCTGTCTATTTTTAGGGTGTGATGTAATGGTAACCACATTGCAGTTAATGTTCATTAAAAGATTACTTATCTTTTAGTGATAGATACATAAGGAAATAATCATAGATGATTCCTGGAATCCCCTTTAAAATAATCTGAAGGAGGGGAGAGAAAGTAGGGATGAGAAGTGAAATAACATTGGTCATGAATTGATACTTGCTGAAGCAGGTGGTAAGTACACAGGGTTTCACGATACAATTGTTTTTATATCCAGATGATTCCATAATCAAAAGTTAAGAAAAACAATGGCATATTGTCTTAACTCTGGAAGGTTATACACAAAAATGTACGAACTCAATGTGAAATTACGTCAATATGTTTATACTTTCCTCTTTTTTTCTAAATCTGTAGCAATGAGCATGCATCATCACAAAGAAAATAACTTTCAAAATGGTTTTAAATGAAAGTGCACGTGCCAGTTGTGGATAAAGGGGCCACAGAATGCCAGCCACTTGTGGGCGGGCAACCTCTGAGGCAGCACAGACTCGGCTTTGTCCCCTCATGTCCCGGAGGAGGGGACGCCAGGAGGGTAAGGAGGGGGAAAGGAAAAAGAAGGACGTGCGTGCACTGTAGGCTTGGCACCTCTACAGGCACGGTCACAGCCACGCCTCACACAACCTGTGAGGAAGCCATTGATGGTCTTCAACAGGTGGAAAACAGGCTCAGAGAGGTCATGAGAGAAGGAGCCAGTGTGTGTGGACATGTGTTCCCTGTCAGGCACCTCCCCTTGCATCAGACCTGCACAGCCCACTGTGCCCTGAAAAGGACTGGGTGGGGGGGTGAGGGTGGTTTCTGTCTTAACTCAGGGCCCTTCCCCTGGGTGACTTCCATCACTGGCTTCAGGTTGAGGGGGAGCAGTCGGGCATGGAGGGAAGGATCTGACCGAGGGGACAGGAGCCTGGATGCGTGGTGAGGGCTCTGCCGGCTCCGTCCAGAGAACTGAGCCTTCCTTTCGCCTGCACAGCTGGGATGAGCCCCAGCTGCCTCTGGCTGAGATGCTGGGTGAACGGGAACATGGCTTGTGAACTGTGAAGCAGTGTGGTGGAATGACCACCTGTGTGTACATCTGCAGCCACTCTGTCTGAGCCCCATGTGAAAGGGTCAGCACGGAGACAACTGCCAGGGAAGGGTAGAGGGAACAGTGCAACGCAAGGAGCCCAGCCAGTGGAGCACCCTAAGGGCCCCTTTCTCCCCACGACCCCCGCCTCCCCTCCCAGTCACCCAGGGAGCGCCCACCCTCAGGAAGCTCTCTGGAAGCCGGGAGACTGGCCTCCTCACCCAGGCCACCTGCACAGCCCCTGACCGGCTGTGCTAGGCCAGGGCTGGGCCGTCCACTGCTGGCGCTCAGCTGCCAGGGCAATGCCAGGTAAACCAGGCCTGGACGCGTCTGCCGGGCCTCTAGGTGCCTCTAGGTGCCCCGCTCTGCAGGCTTGACCTCCACCCCCCGCGGTCCTTGTTCTCTCTGTCTCTCCCCCCCACCCCCGCCTATCTCTGGACATATTTCTTTCCCCCTTATTCCTTTTGCCTTTCAAACCCCTTTTTCTTTCTACCCTCGTTCATAGATCGCACCCATCTGTTTACCTCCGAAGTCCCTCTCTGCCTCAGCCTCTCCCTTTCTCTCTGTCCCTCTGCGTTTATTCTGCTGCCTTTTTCCGTCGGTCCCTCCCTGCTGCACGCTCCCCTTTCTCCAGCTCTCCCCATCTGGCTGCCTCCGTCTCCCTCCCTGCACCTCTCGTGCTCCCTCCTGGCGGTCGGCTCCTCCCCGGCCCTCGCCCGCGCGCGGCCCACTCACCGGCGAAGGCGCCCGCGGCGCGGAGCAGGGCGAGCCCGGCCAGCGCGCAGAGCAGGGGCCGCATGGTGCCGGGGGCCGAGCGAGCGCCGCGTCCGCGCGCCGCCGCCCTGCCCGGGATCGCGCCAGACCCGCCAGGGAGGAAACGCGGGCAGTCCCAGCCCAAATTCCTGGGCGGCTCCGGGCCTTCTGGCTGCAGCGAACCCGCCCCTTACAGAGACCCCGCGGGGGGAGGGGGCGGCGTGCCAGCCTGGGCGCCTCCCCAGGAAGGGGCCTCCCGGCGCCCGGGCGCAAAAGAGCTGGAGAAGGGTGAGGGGCTGCGCTCTCAGCGGCCGCGCCCGCCCTTAGGAGCCCATTTCCCAGGCCGGCAGCCTGAAGCTTAGGGAGAAGTGCCTTCCTGGTGTCACCCACAGCGATGGCACAGGATCTGAACCCCTGACAGCGCGGAGTGAGCTTTTCTCTGCCCACCCACAAATAAGTAATTAACAGTGCCTGGACCGGAGAGGAGGACTCAGAAGTGGTGTCTGTCTGCTATAGAAACATTCTGGTCTTCTAAAGGAATCACGGTAAGGTTAAAAGATACTTTCAAAAAAAGGTGAAGTCATGACTTTCATACAGATATAAAATGAGATAGTGCTGAAGATTTCATGTAACTCATTAATGAGGGAACAAGTCAGAGGTGACAACCAGTCCAAAGACCAGAGACCTGGACTATTGGTATGCAGGTGCCAAAGAGAGGTAAACTGGCTGCCTCCACACCGTGAGGGAACAGGAACGATTTGCTTATCAATAGACATGAATTATTTTGCATTGCTGTCTACACTTTCCTTGTAAAATGGCCTACAGGCAATGAAAGGCCTAGAACCCTGATAGCGTCAGAATCAGAATGAGTGTTCAGCAAATACTTAAGCCCTGTACGCCATAGTGTTAGATGAATTCTAGAGTTGGAAGGAGATGAAATAATTTTCATATTCACCTGTGTCTGCCCTTGAGTAGTTGGTAGCTAGAAACCACTGTAGTATTAATAAATAGTAGCTACATTTTGATTTACTTTTATACCGCCCCTCTGATGTTTAGTGCACCTCTGGGGTACATAATTATGTCTTTGTCTGCAAATTAAGAAATTGAGGCTCAGAGATGTTAAGAACATTGCTTAAAGTCACACAGCTGGCATAATGTGGAGTCAGGATTTGAATCCAGTTCTGCTGCTTCTGCAGGCCAGCGCTTAGATAATAATATACATATAATATAATAATAAAATATGTCTTTCTTTATTCTAAGTAAGTGCAGCTAAGGCCTGGGGAGGTGTTTTAGTGAACTTCAAATCATCCTCACCTCCTACCAGTTTAGAACCCAACAGGTGAACCCTAACCCAGGGAACATACCTACAGGATAAGCATAAAAAAAAGGGTTACATTTTAGTGAAAACAAAGAGGAAAGGTGCCCTAACATCTAGGCTGTAGAGCCTTAAGTGCCTCCCCTGGCTGCAAGTGGTGAGCCTTCATCACAAGCCCAGGAGAATGTCTTTATCCATCAAGGGTTATCATCAGCCTTCCCTGGAGCCCTTGTTGATCAAGGCTGCCTCTCTGCCTTCTCTGTTCCTGCTGACTTGAGAGTTGTCTAGTGCAGTCACCACACTAACCAGTAATTCTCACTTCTCAGCTTCCTCCTGCAGACAATAGCCTCAGGCATAGAAATTCTGGTTCTGAGTCAGCAGATCTTGGACAGAGGCTTGGACTTAAATTGTTAAGAAGCTCTCACGGGGATTAGGATGCCCAGAGGAACTGGCTCCGAAGATTCATTTCAGTCATGCCAAGAATTTCTCACACTTGGTCATAGGACAGCCCTTGGTAGTTTAGCCAGGTGAGAACTTGTCAAAGAATAGCTCAATTCACAGGGATTCTTACAGCTCATAAGGAGTGGGCTATCTAATATTTTGAATTTGCAATAAAAACAACACATATACAATATTTTCCTGTTGTGGTAGAGTGCCAGAGTAATAAAGCATACAGAGAAAAACATAAAATTCTGTGTTACTACCTCCCCCTGCCCAGCGATTTCAGTGCAGTCCCCTCAGCTTGGGGACTCTCCCAGTTCCTTGTCTGTGCAAGCCTGTCTATCTAGTATGTACTTAGACACAAACATACATAAGTAGGATTAAATACTAGATATTTTGGAGATTTGCTTTCACATTCATATTCATCTCAGTCATAACAAGGAATCTTGAAGGTCATTCTTTGTAAGTGCACATAATCCACTCCTTTGAAGACTTGCAATATATCTCATGAATGGATGCACCATTATTGGTCCAGACCAGCCAGCCCCTCTTGATGGACATGTATATGAGTTAGCTTTTTTTCCCAATATAAAACATGCTTCAATGAACATTCTTTTGCATCTCTTTTTAGGTACTTATTACATATTCATGTATTTCTGAAAGACTGATTCCTAGATTTCTGGAAGAGGAATCATTGAATCAGAGGGCCTTTTACATTTTGCTGGATATGCCAAAAACTCAATAAACCCATAGATAGGAGGGGCCAGGTTCTGAGAGCGGCTCCAAGAAGGCACCCAATTATATGGCGTAGTCTGTCAGAGTTGTGCTGCAGGGGGCGCCATTTACTTAAAATACTTGTGGAGTGAAGAACCCTGAAGTAGGAAATCATGTACAGCTTATGTACATTCAACACTGGTTATTTATTTTAAAATTTTGAAAGTTTGATGATAAAAAATGTTACCTTGTTATTTTTGTTTACATGTTCTTTATTATGAGTGAAATGAAGCTTCGTTTGCCTTTTCAAACACTTTTTTTTCTATTTTTTCCTCTTTTCTTTACATATTCTGATAATTAACCTAAGGCCTGTTACATACATTGGAAATGTTTTCTTCCACTGTCTTTAACTTCCTTTGTGGTATCTTTTATCATACAGAAGTTTCAGATATTTAGGTAGCCAAATCTCTCAATATTTTCTTTCATGTCTTCTAGGTTTTAAAACTTGTTTATGATTCCTCACATCAATGCTATAAAAATATTTTCCAATATTAAAAAAAAATAGTTTAAAGGTTTTCTTTCCCTGAAGTACAATCTCTAATCCATCTAGAATTTTTATGTGGTTGCAAGGAAAGATGCAAACATATCCCCCCACCCCTCCAGTGGACATCTAAATATCCTAATGCTCTTTATCTCATACTTCATCCTTTAGCCACTAATTTGAAAATAAATTAAATTTTTGGTGAGCTATTCATTCCCAGTGGAATTCCACAGAAATCTCTAGCCATCATGTCTGCTATGACAGACATGGTAAAGAAACAAAAATAAAATAATCTTATCATTTCAATAAATACTGAAACTATTTGATGAAATTAAACAGCCATCCCAGACTTAAAAACAACAAATGCTATAATAGGTAGAAATAAAGGAAATAAAGAGACATTTCCTTAATAACTAACTACTTTTACCTTCCACATAGTTCACACTACATACAGCAGAAAGGAGAGAGGTATTCCTTATTAAGCCAGGACTGAGGTACAAATGCACCATTATCACTATTCATTATTCACAGCCTGATCAATGCAATGAGACACAGATGAGAATAAGAGGCATTGTGAAGATTTAATTGCTTTCTTAGAGAATCCAGTAGAACTAGAAAAACTATTTGAATTACTCTATAAAATGGCTGAATTTAACATAAGTGTTTTGAAACCCATTTGCTTTTAATTGAACAATAACACACGTTTAAACTTTGCAGGTCCATGTATACATGGACTTTTTTCAATAAATATACTGGAAAATTGGAGGTTTGTAACAACTTGAAAAAATATTTTCCTTTCTCTAGCTTACTTTATTGTAAGAATACAGTATATAATATGCCATACAAAATATGTGTTAATTGATTGTTTATGTTATCAGTAAGGTTTCTGGTGGACAAGCTATTAATAGTTAAGTTTTGGGGGAGTCAAGTTATATGTGGATTTTTGACTGCATGGGGGGTTGGTGCCTCTAACCCCCGTGTTGTTCAAGGGTCCAGTGTATTTCCTCATGCTAATAGGAATCAGCCTACACACACAAAGGAAAATTGCTGGACAAGATGATAATAAGGACCCAGTTTGTTAATTTTTCCTTTCAGTGTTCTCTAGATACGGCCAATAAATTGAAAAATAAGGGAGGGTGGCACGAGTGCCAGGAATTATGGAAATATGCCAACTATATACCAGGGCTCAAAGCAAGCTGGTGGCCAGCTGGGACTAGTGACAGTAGGTATCATTTTGTATTGCTACTCTTAATTGCTAAACTTCTTTGAACCTGATATTGTGCAAAGACTTTACCTGTGTGCTCTCATTTAATCCTTGCACCAATAAACCTATCACCAATAAACCTATAAGCAAGGGGTCTTTATCTCCATTTTTCAGATAAGATATATTTGATTAGGGTCAGAGGGGCAGATCTTGAAAGCCAGGTAGGTCTGATCCTAAAATCCATGCTCTTGCACAGCCTCTTGACTCTCAGGCTCCAGGTGAGTAACGAGGTGGTGAGGGAGTCCGGAGGGAGGTAGAGGTGAGAAGAGAGCACATGGAGTGTTTGGGGATCAGAGTGGCAAGGTCTTAGCAGTTGGGGAGAAACACCCACAACCACCTGCAGATGCGAAGTGCCCTCATGTCCCGAGCTTCTCTTTCATGGAATGCTTCCATCACCCTGGCGGTTGGCATCCAGATCCACACGAGAGGCTCAGAGAAGTTATGAGGTGGCCCAAGGCCCCCCATATACCATGTAAAAATGTGGGGATTTGCTCCCAGGGGGCCTGGGCCCAGAGGCAAAGCTGCGGCCTGTGCACAGGGCTCCCACCCTGGCTGTATGATGGGCGAATGGTGGGGAGGAGAGCAGGGGCTTATTCTCAGAGACCCCGAGGCAAAGAACCAAGGGAAAAAGGAAATGGGGCTGGCCAACTCTCTGGAGGTGGAGGTGGGGGAGAGGGACAGCCCAATTGAAAGGGCTTTGGTGACTGGGAGGGTCAAGCCCCACAAAGCCTCCTTGTCTCATCTTGGCACAGGCAAGACCCGGACAGGAGAACCCTCGGTGCTGGGTGGGCTGGCCCACCTCCCCACACAGGTGGAGGGAGGTACTAGCCCAGGGTCACTCAAATTATGGTCAGAGATAGTGAACCAGTGGGGTGTGGGTATGGGTGGAGAAGGGTGGCAGTGCTTGACAAGTTAAGATTTAAGAAATCTTGTTTTTTAAAATCTATCCATTTTCTTGCACACAGTTCCAAGTCTCCCCAAGTAGGGAAAGATGTAGGAAGATGAGAAAATCTGCTGGGTACAGGGAGAAGTGAATGTGGGGAGAGGGCAGAGGTTTAATAATAACAATGATAATATCAATAGCTATAACCCTAATAGCTGACATTCACTGATTCCAACTTTATGCCAAGCACTGTTTGAAGCAACAGATTTCTCAGTTGCTACCGTATGAGGTGGCTTCTGTTGGTTATCCCAGAGCTTAGCAATAATAGTTACCTACCCAGTGTTCTTTGAAGTGATGAAGCCACATTTAAAGGTGGAGGAAACAGGC